GATTTTTTTCTTTAACCTTCTTTGAGCCTAATCAAAATATATCTGAATATCATTTTCATTTCTCTATAAAGCTAGTTGTAAGTTATATTACACTGTAATAAAACGACTGTAATGATAATGATAATTATAAAAAAAGAAGAAACAAAGAAATATATATATACATATTATGATGAAAAAACAACTCACTGATAACAATGCAAATAACTGTGACAGTAATTATGATAATATTAGTTTTGGTACGGATAATAACACTGCTAGTAGCTATGATACTAGTGATAATGATAATACTACAGATAGCAGTCTCAGTATATTTGTAATAACAAATATGATATTGGTAACGATAACATAAATAACAATAACAACAACAACGGTAGCTATAAAACAAACAGTAACAAAGGAAGTAATGATAACAATGAAAATGATATTGAAAATAATAAAACAATAGCAATGGCAGTGTAATTTGAAAAGCATTCATAATAATGATAATGCAATGCAATGATACTACTAACACTATTTGCATTAGTGATAATAATAATAATGATAATAATCATAATAATAATAATAATAATAATGATAATAATATTAATAATAGTAATAATAACAACAATAATAATAAGAAGAAGAACAACAACAACAGCAACAACAACAATAACAATAATAATAATGAGGATAATCACTTTCATCATCATCATAATAATAATAATAATAATAGTAATAATAATAATGATAATAACAATAATAATAATGATAACAATAATAATGATAATAATAACAATAACAATGATAATAATGCTAGTAAAAATAATAATGATAAGTATTATTATTTTTTGTTATCATTATCATAATTATAATAACAATAGTAATCTTAATAGTAGTAGTAGTAGTCATAATGATAATAATGATAATAATAGTGATAACAAAATAACAACAACAACAATAATAACAATAACAATAATAATGATGATAATAATAATAATAATGATAATGATAATGATAATGATAATGATAATAATGATAATAATAATAATAATCATAATAATAATAATAATAATAATAATAATAATAATAATGATAGTAATTGATGATGATGATGATAATGAAGATGATAATAATATTATCAAAAATGATGATGATAATAATAATAATAATAATAATAATAATAATAATAATAATAGTAATGATAATGATAGTGATAATGATAATAAAAATATTACTTATTTCTATAGTTACCCCTAAAATCAAAGATAGAAAATTTAGGATAGAAAACTTGTTTTAGGAATAACTAAAGAAAATTAAATCTAACACTACTGGACCAGACGTCGCACACTTTCTTAATATATACTCGTATAATAACTGCTGTATGAATGCATTAAAACACATAATTATAACGATGATAATAATGTTACTAATAATGATGATATTAATGATAATAATAATAATGATAATGACAATAATAATAATAATACTTGTAATAACAATGATAATAATGATAATGACAATAATGATGATGGTGATAACTGTAATCATCAATGCTAATGTTAATAATCATATATTTACTGCATCTCTTGCTGAATTATTAAATTGAAATAACTGAATTAAGAATGTGTGTGTTAAGCATAAGTTAGAAATGTTTGAAAATGATAAATGAACGTTATACTTTATCTAAACCACCTTCTAAAACACTAAAAGTATAAGTTAACTCATTCGCCCCGGATTTATGTTCTGTCCCCTGTATTCTTTTGTGAATTTTGTTACATACAGATGGCTCCACATGTGCTCAGCCGGCAAGGAGTCTATCAGTAGCCCTAGTGACCGATCCTGATTTCCATATTCCTTGAATTGGCGGGAAAAGTTTTTTTTTTCTTCTTCTTCTTTTTAATACGGTTGACATCGATACTGTTATTATTGTTATTGTTGTTATGATTATTAAATTGTTAAGACAATGAAATAATGTAAAAGACCCTTTCCAAAAGTCGCGGGAAAGGGTAAACAGATGAGAGAGGTAGGACTAAAAACCGCCTCCTTGGTGACTAAGCACTTGCAGAGCCATCTATGTGTAATTACAATAAATAAACTTGTATTACATTGGGCATGGCATGTATTATTGCCATATTGGGTTAATTAACGAATTATGACAAGGGAATGTTACGGGTACAAGTGAAGGACCTATGCTTAAAGCTTTTGATGAGATTATTGTTGCTTTTTAACTTTTGACTTCTTTTATAGCTAAATTAATTAAGAAAATGATAATAACAGAAAAGTAATATTATTACTGACACTATTTTCTTACTATTATCTTTAGTATCATGGCTATCATTGCTATCATTATTAGCGTCATTATAAATGTTATCATTACATGTATTATCCTTAACATTATCATAACAATCATTGCAGCAACAGTATAGCAAATCAACGTTAACACATATTTTGCAGGAATGTATTACAGCAAAGTTACAGGAATTATCGAGTGAAAAAAACGTTATTTTTAAAAAGTTAGTAAAATAAAGAAAAAATGTGGCTGATAAATGGAAGATAGGTTATCAGTCTGTAGGGAAGCCTTCGTTCTACAATCAACCAGTGTTGCCATTTTACCGATTTTTCTGCTAAATCTAGCGAATTTGCAGATCACTCTAACATGGGAAATTCTAAAATTAGTAAGAGTAGCTAACTAGTTTTTTTTTCCAAATCTAGCGTTTTTTTTTTTTTTTTTTTTTTTTTTTTTAGCTTTATTTATAATATGGTCCTTTTTTCTTATTTTCTTTTCTTCTTTTTTTTTTAGGCCGGCTGAGTGGATTTTGAAAAATGTGATTGGCAATACTGCCAGTAACGGAGCTTGTAGTACGTCCAAGCTCAGAAAAGGAAACACTGGCAACTCACCCGAAGCCTCTAAGAACGCCGATTCGCGAATTCGTTTTTATATTCCAATCACCCAAACTCTTAATATTTGCACTTACATACGCTTGGATTTTTTAAAGCTAATATACAATAGTATATATGCTTTAACACCATTATAACACCATACTCTGACTTTAACATAACATTAATATTTTTCTCTCTAAAGGGACTCGGCGATTCGGAATTCTCCAGTGTCGGGGATGAGTTGCCATTTTTTTTCTTTTCTTTTTCCATTTTTTTTTTTTTTTTTAACTGGTTGGACAAATTTGGTTATGATTTTAAGATTATATGGTAAGTGTAGTGTGATCTGTTAGGTGAGTTTTGTACCTGTCTTGTCTCTCTTTTTCTTCAAGGCACTGATGATGGTAATAGAGGAGTGGACGTGTGTGTGTGTGTGTGTGTGTGTGTGTGTGTGTGTTCCGGTCTTCTATAATGCCATTGACTCGATAATAATTGATGTTTTTGCTATTTTGAAGAGGTTTAGTGATATTAACGATATTGGGATACATTAATGTTAGGGATAATGATTTTAATGGCGATATCCATAATAATGATAACAATAGTTATTATAATCACAACAACAAAACTTAATTGTGATGAAAATGCGAAAATCATTATTGAAAGCCGTGATAATGGCAATAACCCTCAACAATATCATCACTAACAACACTCACAATAAAAAAAAGCAACAGTGTTACATAAATCAAAACAGCAACACCCGTCAGCCACCACAGATTAAAAAAAAAAAAAAAAAAAAAAAAAAAAAAAAAAAAAAAAGGGTGAAAAGAAAAAATCTAATAGTCACCCCACCCCATCAACCTACCCCCCCCCTTCCACACACATTCCACATAACGATAACTCCACTTAAATGTCTCGTCTCGCGATCTGATCTCGCCTAACATCGCAATCCTATTATAACTTCATGATTAATAATCTCCCTTCCCCGTTTAGCTCACACGATCTGGCCGTAAGTGGCGCTGGGTATTGATATTATCGCTATGACGTTTAATAAACCAATCTCACATCTTTATTAGGTGCTAAACATCGCCGTTTCCTTTATAGTCTCGCGTTTCTGTGATGGCTCGGGCTCCGTTGATGATGGCTTTTAAATGATCGCTTTTTTCCTGCATGTTAATTTTTTTTCTTGTTTTTCTTGTTTTTTTCTATCTCTCTCTCTTATTCTCTCTCTATCTCTTTCTCTCTCTTTCTCTGTCTCTCTCTCTCTCTCTCTCTCTCTCTCTCTCTCTCTCTCTCTCTCTCTCTCTCTCTCTCTCTTCCCGTGTTTTTATATCACTTCTTCATTATCTTTGTATTACATTCTTTCTTTACCCCTGTACTTAATTCATTCTTCCTTTTTATATGCCATTCTTTCTTGATTATTTCTGTGTTTCATAAGAAATTACCATAAAATAATATTATCATTATAATTGTTTTTACCATTGTCATGATTATCATTGCAGTAGAACTATTGATAGTAATGATGTTCTCATTAGCATTATTGTCATTATCCTTATCGTTGCTTTCATTTATATTGTGATAATTATTGATAATTATTTTATCCTTATCATTATTATTATCTGTATTTGCTAATGGTGTGTATAATGATAATAACAATACTACTGCTACTGATGATGATATATATTTTCCACACTAATATTGGTTTTATGTTCATATAAAACTATCAGTAGTAATCATTATAATTATAGGACCAGTCCAGGCATACATCACTATAATTTAGCGACTTACCACACACAAAACATCGATAGACAGCTTGCAGTTCATATATTTGAGCAATAAATCGCTCGTGGCGGTCGCTACATACGTAAGACATCGTGGCGGAGTTTATTCGTTAATTTAAGAAAATATTTAGGTAAATTACAACTTTGACAGGGTACCAAATAATGGAATGAACGTACATTATACCCGAAAAAATATTACTAAGTCAAAATAACACCCGATTTGACAAAAAAAAAAAAAAAAAAAAAAAAAAAAAAAAACAGTGCATACCTACGAATGAACTAGAATATGATAGAAAAATGATAAAGGTTCGTGCATACGTAGCCGATGTGAACAAAATGATAGCAAATGAATATATGATAACAATT